GAAGGGGGATGGGGCGGGGGGGGCTGCAGGGAAAAGCAGGCATTGGAAGTTTTATTCGGGTGTCCTAAATTGTTGTTGTTGAAGCTTTATTCTGGTTTCCTAAATGTTTGCAAAACATTTTGTTGCTAGACAGAGAATTCCTCTTTGTATCAGCTACTTCAGCTAGTTTATTTCAATGCATCTGATAAGGTGTGTCAGTTGAACAAAGTGGCATTGAAAGGGGGCGTTTCACTGGATGCTCCCAGTTGTGCCTTATTTCCAGTATAGCAACCGAAACCGGTCAAAATTATATAAAGACCTTGAAGAGCACAAGGAACAATAAAGAACAAAGCTCAGTCATTCACTTTATGCCAACAAGGTGTGCCTGTCTTTATATACATTCAATAGAAATACTTTTACCATAAAAGTGTCTGACTTTCCTTTGGCACTAATTGAGCTTGCACAGCTGTGCACTGATACCATTGTGCTCTCCGTCTCCAAAACACACAGGTATCATTTGACCAGGGGCTTTTTTCTGTCCTACCCAAGGAGGAGGGACATCTGCCCGTTGGCACTGCCCAAAAGAGATGCTACCGGACTGCCGGAGAAATGCACCACTGAAAGCCAGGCAGAAATCAAGTACTCCAGAGCACTCCTAAAAAGCAGGGGAAACCCCTCTGATGTTCAGTCGCCTTTTTTTAAACACGTACAACAAATACCTAACTGCTTAAGTACACCTAATAAATAGTATGCTAGAGCTATTTGGAAGTTGCAGTTCAAACAATGCAAGTGAGGTTGTAAATTCTAAAAGGCCACTACTCTGAATGAGAAACAATTCCATTTCTGAGAATCTCTTTGCGACTGAGGTCAAAACTACACATTGTAGATTACAGAAAAAGGACATTCTTGGAAGCCACAACTCACTAAAACCACATCAGGGCTGGCCATCACTAGTGACGAGGCTGCTGATGCTTCACGGCAAGGCCTGGAAAACACACAGAAGCAACACTGAGTTGTCTGGTTTAGTCCATGTCTCCTCTTTGACCTTGATTGCTTTTAGGACAGATGCCAGTAAGGTTTTTGAGTACTTCTTTAAGACATTCTAAAAAGTTTGTATCATGAAAATAAAGTCTGTTTCTTCTCAATATTTGCACTCCAACAAAGAGGTTCTTCACTCTTTTAGTACAAAATTATTTTCATGGTATCATTTAACTAGTAAGCGCCCGGAAAGAGAAAGTAAATGCCATAATCAGAGAGGGATTTAGAGATGCTACTCTTCAAAGTCTAGTATAACGTTGTCAGATATAGCAGGTTTAGAGCATAAAACAGGAAAGACTATTGATGAATAGTCAATGGCAAACAGGTCATGCACAAGCATTTCAGCATAAAAAGAACACATGCATGAGAGAAAAAATAACAGGAAGTCTAAAAGTCAAATCAGAAGGAAGATCTGGTGGTTTAAAAATGTTAAATGCTGTAAATGCGGGGGGAGAGGCATTGGAATAGAGAACAATCTCTCATTTTTCTGTATATTGGAAAATAATATTCCTTTATGTATATAAAAAGAGACTTCAAAGTCCACACTACAAGGACCTTAGGCGAAATGCAGATGCACATCGCAGATGTACCTTGTACTCGCAGAGCACTCCAGATCCTTTCCATCTGTCCTGTGCTGTTGCAGCAGAAGAAAGGGCAACCCTGGAGAAACAGTGGCAGTTGACATTCTGCTGAGAAAGGAAAAAACCCTTTAGCATAGAGCAAAAAACTTCCTTTGTGAAGGTTTGCAAAGACCACAGCCGAGTGAAGGAAAAACTATTTGGCATCACCTCTGGCACAGCTGTGCATATGGGCCACTAGAGCTTTTGCATTTTCAAGACAACCCTGCTTTTTTTTGGCTCACTAGCAGCTTCAGTTTCACTAGAGCCACTTTCCCAGATACACACAGGTAACAGGCACAGATGCCTTCCTACCTTTTCTCAAGCCTACATAGAGCAAAGGTTTCCTCACCCTATACATCCCGAGTTGATTATTGTTGTTAAAAGCAATCCACCTGTCTTTGTAAACTGCCTCCTTGCAAAAAAGGAATTATTTTTTCCAGGCCATTTCTCCCAACAGTCAAACCAAACCAAGCACCACCAAACCTGCTCTGGGTCCCTCCCAGCTTTTGACTGCCCTCAGATTTACCAGGCATACGCTCTGTTCTGTCTCCCAACAGCAAAAGCACAGCAGCTCCCAGAGCAGAGCACAGCCCCACGGGTACCCACGCAAACCCTGCTGTTTGATGGGGAGCCCCCGAGTGCAGCCATGGGCCCAAGGGCAGCTTCAGCCACAACCATTTCAGGGGATGTGGCTTCTGAAGCTATAAGTTGAACACCCCATCTTCACACTTGGCCACAGCAGGAGTGATCCACAATGAGAACTCCAAAAAACCCAGTAACACTATTGCAAACCCACAGCAGTAACAGCAGCAGCTTCAGAGACATTTAGGCTGGGAGAAAAATAAAACAGCTTTATCCGGTGCACAGGAAAGCAGCAGAAAGAGAAAGGGGTCAGCATTCACGGCCCTTACAGTAGACAGGCATTCTCCTTCCATTCCTAAACCTGTCTGTTAGATCTAAATATCACAGCACTGCCATGGCCAGACTGAGAGCAAGGAACAACGGTCCCGCTGCCAGACAGTAGTGGCGCAGAACACATAGACAGAGGGACTTTCTTTTGCCACACACAACTCTGAATTTCCTGAAAATTCACATTTACCAAAAACAGCCACTTGGAACATACTGCCAAATAGCATCTGGCAATTAAACTTTGATGTGTGTTTGACACACACAATTTTTTGGGAACTTGTGATTTGCTTCCTGCTGCTGTTCTTCCTTCAGAAATTCTACTTGTAGCCCAGTTATTTGCTAGTGGCTCAAGCATTTACCTTCCTGATACTACCAGCAGTTTTACACAGGCAAGTCACTTAATTGCTCTGCTAAAATTATCCAAATGAAAGCTGTTACAGGCATAAAAGAGGATTGAAAAAAAAAAAAAAAAGAAAGATCAGGCAGCAAAAGAGCGCTGCAGGCTGCCACCTGCAGTCAACATCGCACCATGTTTTGGATACCACACTCCCACACAAAAATCAACTACACTGACACCACACACTAATAAAAATTGAGCTATGTTCCAAACTAAAAGGCTGTTTCCAAGTTGCCCATAAAATTAGTAGGAACAAACAGAAGAGAAACACTTGACCCTAAGGAAGGTCACAGGCACCTCTTAATTTATCTTAGGTGAAAGTTTGTTCTTCTACCTCAAAGGAAGACATTCTTAACTACCAAGGGCTCAATTTGGGCAGGAGGCACGCTCCGTTAACTGCAATTCCTCATCAGGCTTTCCCCACTGGCAGCAAATCTGCCTTTTCCGCAGAATGGACATGGAGCATCTGTAGCATCCCTGAACTCACTAATGTTTCTCCCCACCCCCCAGCTCAACACATGCAGTTACCTAAGCAGCAAGCGGAATCAGCCCTGCAGGACATCCTTCCTGCCCTGCAGAAGGTGATGCTGGGAAAAGAAGAGGAGAGAAATGACCCCGTTTGTCACAGCCAGCCAACAAATGCTCTGGCTCATGGCAGTTCCCGCTCCCTACCACTGCCGGCAGGCTTGCCGCCCGCTAACACACTCCAGGCAGCGAGCATTCCAGAGAATCACAGAATGGTTAGAGTTGGAAGGGACCCAAAAGATCATCGAGTTACAACACCCCTGCCCTGGGCAGGAACACCTCCCCCTAGACCAGGTTGCTCAAAGCAATCTAGCCTGGCCTTGAATTGAGCGAGATTGGCCTCCATCTCGCTGCAACTCCTGCTTGCCACAGCTCTGGCTAATACAAGCCCCTGCTCTGCACTGGTCCATTTCAGCTCCTTCTCTCCGCAAACTCCGGCTGTTTGCACCGCTCTGGCCTTTCGACCAGGGCGTCAATCATCCTCATATTTCCAGCATTACAATTAAACACCACTGCTGTAGGTGGCAGAAACGTTAACTGTTTTGAACGACTCATTACCTAATAACTAGCCTAAGCAGTGTGCAGAGAAGAGCTGGACTTGAAGAGGGCATGCGGGGTCTGATAAGTGCCTTTTTCCCCC